AACCAACCCTCCATATGTTTTAAAAGAATGAGATAATAAGAAGTATATTTTCTCACCACAGTACAACTAAGCTAGAAATCACTAACAAAAAGATTTTTAAAATGTTATGTTGTGGAAATAAAGTACTACACTTCTAAGTAACATGGCTTTTTTCTAAAGTGTAAATTAGAAAATATTTTTAACTGAATGATAATGAAAATACTACATATCAAAACTTTAGATGTGGAAAGCATCTGAAGTTGTGCTTCTTATGGAGAATTTTATCATTTTAATTGCACATAGAGCAATAAAAGAAGAAAGGCTAAAAAAATTGATGAATTGAGGAAACTAAGTCAGACAAAGACAAGTACCATATGATCTCTTATAGATGGTATCTTAAATAAAAAAAAAAAAAGCAAGCAAACAAACAAAAAAAACAACTAAGCTCATACAGAGAACAGATGGTGACTGCCAGAGGTGGCAGTTAGGGATGGGAGAAATGGGTATCTATTTTTTTGGATTTGGTTTTAGTTTAAACAAATTGAAAAATATAACCTAAGTTCTTTGTGTCTTAGTTTTCAGGATTCTTTCTTCTCAGGAATGTTGTTATTCATGGATTAATAAAAAGAAGAATTTGGCTTACACAACACTGAGAGCTAAAATACTCGCCCCCCGACACACACACCTATTAGAAGGGCTAAAATCCAAAACACTGACAACACCAAATGCTGACAAGGATGTGGAAGAACAGGAACACTCACTTATTGCTGGTGGAAATGCATAATGGTACAGCCACTATGGAAGACAATTTGGCAGTTTCTTACAAAATGAAACATACGCTTACCGTATGATCCAGGTATCACTGTAAGAGGTATTTACCCAAAGGAGTTGAAAATTTATACCTACACAAAAACCTGTACACAGAGTTAATAGCACCTTTATTCATAATTCCATAACTTGGAAGCAATCAACTTCGTAATTCCATAACTTGGAAGCAGTAGGTGAATGGATAAACAGTGGTACACCATACCATGGAGTGTTATTCAGCAATAAAAACAAATGAGTTATTAAGCCATTAAATGACATGGAGGAAATATAAATGCATACTGCTAAGTGCAAAAAAAAAGAGTCTATTTCAAGGACATAGAAAATAATAGGAAATTAAACTCAAAGAAAGAGAAGGAAGGAAATAAAGTTAAGAACATAAACTAATGAAATAAAATCAAACCAAACATATTATAATCATCAGCTCCATTGATGGAGCTGTTGAAGAAAAAAGAAAAATAAATAGCCAATGTCAGGAATGAAAAAAGAAGACCTGACTATAAGTCCTGCAGACCTACAAAATTATAAAAAGGTATATTAAATAACTTTATGTAAGTAAATTTTAAAATATAAATGAAGCAAATTCCTCAAAATATACATGTAAAAACTGACAGAAGAATAGAAAATTTAAATAATCCTTCAGCCATTAAAAAAATTAAACCTATAATTTAAAACTTTACAATAAAGGAAACTCTGGGCACAGATGGCTTGTAAGATACATTCAAGGAAGAAATAACGGCAATCTTTCACAAGTCTTTTCAGAGCACAGGAAAAATACCTACCATTTGCCGATTCATGTTAAGGTGCTAGAATAACCCTGATTAAAAAAAAAAAGTACTGACAGGAAATTCCAAAAAAGAAATTTTTAAGCTGGTCTGATTTGTGAATATAGATGTAAATATCCTGAACTTAAGAATAACAAACTTACCCATTAACATAAAAATGGAATGTTGGTGATTTGCTTGGTCTGAACTGGAAAGCCAGAATCAATTTATTTACTGTCTTTGTTTTCCTGAACTTCATTTCAGAAGTAATGCCTTTTTTCAGTTCTTGTTAAGTTTGTTTTATATATATGTGTATATATATACAGCAATAGAAAAAAAAGGTCAATACATGTTGGGCGTATTCCAGAAAGCAAGGATAGGTTAAGATTTAAAAATCAATGCAATTCACCACATTAACAGATTAAGGGAATATCATCTGATTATTTTGGTTGATTTCAATACATGATGTTGATTAAATTCATGATAAAACCTCTTAACAAACTAGGACTAAAAAAGGAATTTTCTTAAGTCTAAAAAGAATATCCCCACCTAAAAGAACATTCAGCAAATATCAGACTTAATGATAAAATATTGAAAGCTTTCCTTCTGGCATTAGAATGGACAAGTTTATTATTAGTTTCCTAGGGTCTTCACATGGTGTCTTCCTCTGTGTGTGTCTTTGTCACTCCTCTTTTTACAAGGACACCAGTCATATTGCAGTAGGGCCAACCTACTCCAGTACGATCTCATCTTAACTTGATTACATCTGCAAAAAACGCTATTTGGAAATAGGGTCACATTCACAGATACTGGGGTTTAGGACTTCAACGTACCCTTTTGGGGGCAATATTTAATCCAAAAAACAAGGACTCACCCTATTATCACTTCTTTTTGTACTGAAGGTCCTGGCCGTGCAATAAGGCAAGAAAAAGAAATAAAACGTATAAAGATTAGATAGGAAGAAGTAAAACTGTCATTATTCATGAATAATATAGTTGTCTCTGTAGAAAATCCTAAATAATTCACAGATAAAATATTAGAATTAATAAGTTTAACAAACTGGTCTATTCAAGATTAATAAACAAAATTTATTTTACTATGATGTAATACCAAAAAACAGGAAAAATAAGTGTTTAAAAAGATATAATTTATAATAGCAAAAAACAAAACAAAACCAAAAACCAAATACCTTGAAATCAATCTAACATGTGTAAGACCTTATGAAATCTTATTGAGAGAAATTAAAGAAGATCTAAATAGAGGAATATGACACATTCATGAACTGGAAGACTCAATGTTACAAATATGCCAAGTCTTTCCAAAATGATGTATACATGCAATGCAATTCCAATCAAAATCCCAGTTTATGGAGACTGACAAGCTGATACGAACTCAAGTTTATATGAACACAGAAAGGGTCAAGAATAGCTAAAAATCTGTTGTACAAAGTGCTGAGACTTGTACTACTAAAAACGAAGACTTACTATAAGGCTATTTTCATTAAGACAATGTGGTATTGGCACAAAGATAGACAAATATGCCAATGGGACAGAAAAGAGTGCCCACAAACAGACCCATGCATGTAGGGACACTTGTTCCATGACAGAAGTAGCATTACAGAGCAGTAAGTAAAGAAGACACTTTTCAATAAATTATGCTGAGACAAGTGGAATTCATATGGAAAAAAAAATTCGACCCCTAGCTTGTGCTATGAACCAAAATAGCTACACCCAAAAACGTGGATGAATTTCACAAACAAATCTGAGCAAAAGAATACATAAGATTCCATTCACACAAAGTTAAAACAAAACTAAATCATATTGGAAGAAGTCAGGATTGTGGTTAATTTAGGGAGAAGAAAGTGTTAGTAGTTGGGAGTGGGTACAAGAGGAGTTTCTAGAGAGCTGGTGAATATTTCATTTCTTTAGATGGGTGGGGTTCTAGCTGCATTTGCTTTGTGATAATTCGTTGATTTGTACATTTACATTTTGTGCACTTTTCTTTATTTGTATTAATCTTCCCAATAAAAAATTTTAAAAGTAGACACATTCACTCACTGAACAAATATTTATTGAGAAATCACTATACACCAGACATTGTACTAGATCTGAATCAAAAGGAATAAATACAGGCATAAGCCCTGCGATACCCTTAGCTTGCTACGAAAGGGAGACTCCCTCTTTATGCGGGGTGAAGGTGATAAGGAAAGCCATTAGATCCTTCACTGGGCTGAAACATCAAAATAGTTCAGAAGTGTTCTGCCCAACCCTCAAAAGTGGTGGTTACTCTCTGTATACACTGGAAGGTTCCAGGGTAATTTGAGATCTACACTTAGTTATACATAGGAATCCTATCTGCTTACCTAAGTAAACTCTTGCGTCGAAAGTCATGGCACTAGCCCCTAAGAAAACCAAGAGAATACTATTATTAATTTGCAGTTAATTTTGGAGCTATTACACTAAAATAAAAAAGTTCTTTGGAGTTCTAATGCAAAAAGCATTGAGTTTTAAAACAACATTGTCCTGATTATAAAATACTAACATGCTCAATGTAGAACATCTGGGAAATCAGAAAATTACAAAGAAAACAAAAATCCATTATTCTATCACCATAGCTACTGTAAATGTTTTGGTACATTTCTTTCCATTTTTAAAATGCCTTTATACATTTATTTTCACAGTTGACATCCGGATTTCTATGTGATTTTGCAAACTGAGTTTTCCATTTAAAAATATGAGCTTTCCCCCATGTCATTAAATAACTTTCCTAAACATAATTCTTAAGTTTGTAAAAATCATATCCCCAACTTGAATCATCTCAATGAGAGGTCATTCATCATGTGTAATCGAGTCGAAACATCCGGGGTCCCAGAGTTCTGAGAGGCGTCCAAAACTTAGCTAAAGCCTCTGATGGAACATTGGAACCTGGCAGGCGCGGCGGAGGCTGTTCCAAGGGCAGCTGCGGTCACAGACCCGGACCCGTCCGCAGAGTCCCCAGCCCTGCGGCACGCAAGTTGCCAGGAGGACCCGGAGCCCGGAGAGTCCTAGACTTTCCATCAGGTTTAATACGCGTCTACGCTGTAAGTTCCTGGCGATACCCCAGCGCACACCCCTCAGCTCCCGGGTCCGGGCCGAGCCCGCAGCACCCGAGCAGCACTGGCTCGCTCCGGATCCCGGCGCCCAGAGCAGCCTCTGGGTGGCTGGATTCGGCTGCGCCCTCCGTGGCGCGCCACTCCGAGTCCTTAGCTCGGGTCGCTGGGCTGAACTTGGGAGGAGGCGCCCTCGGTTCCGGGCCTGCCCAGACTGCCCCCTCCCC